TACAGGGCTTTAGAATATCGATACAGTATCGGGAAATGAAATATCGCGATATTTCAGTGTATCGATATTTTCTTACACCCCTAGGGGGCACGGGGGGGGGCAAGGTGTTTTAAGGAGGGCACGGATAAAGAAAAGCACCCTGGATTTGAAAATTCAAGTTGTCCGACACTAATTGTGTGAAAGCTTCATAACATTCAGTTCATTCAGCTAACATTCAGCTCATTCACATAAGGGCTGTTGTGACTTTTGATATTTCAGCTATTTATACTTTTTTAGCTATTTCAAKTTTTTAGCCACTTCTTTGCCATTGAAAATGAATGGAGCTGTTTTCAACATCCTTAAACTCCTTTAAAGTGTTTCTAAATATTTACAGCACCTTACACATTCTGTTCTGGTTATGCTCTTTTTCACTTTCTTGTGCTAATTTTTGCTACTTTTTGCTAATGCTATTTCAGCTAAAATTCTGTTTTTTCCTACTTTTTTTTTTGCTTTTTGTGCTATTTATGCTTCTTACAGATGTGTTTGGCTATATTCAGCTATTTGCTGCAAGATAAGCTAATGTTCAGCTGTTATCAGCTAAAGTTGGATTTTTGAAGCTAAACACACATTTTTATGTAGCAATTCCAACTTTGTTCTGCTACGTTTCATCAAACTTGTGCTCTTTATGCTTCCCTATAATAATTACAGAATTTACAGCTACTTTTTAGCTGCTGTTTTAGCTAATTTACTACAAATTGTCATTCTTTGCATTTTTATGCTTTTTTCTGCTATTTTAAATTTTTTTACAGCACTTTCATTGGTGCTAATTTCATCTTGTGGCTGCTATTTTTAGCCCATGTTAATTTTAGCTTTGTTTGCTATTTTAGCTTTAGGTCTGCTTCTTCTTGCTGTTCTTCTGCTTTTTTCAACTTATTTTGTTTTTTTTTCTAATTTGTGCTACTTATGCTTCTTACAGATGTTTTCAGCTATATTGAGCTATTTTAGCGCTTAGCTTTTAGCTGTTTTCTTTTGTTTTCAATTGGATTTCTGCTCATTTTATTGTTTTTCTGTAACATTAGCCTTTTATTTATGCTTCTTTCAGTTTTTCAAAGCAAGCTCACTTTAACACTTTTGCTATTAAATATTTTCAGCTCAATTTCAGCAGCTTATAGCTTAAAWTTTCAATGAAGCATTCACATTAGCATTTTCACAGGAAATGCAATTTCTCTAGTTCCAAWTGTCTTTAATTCAGCTGTTTTAAGAAATATTGAGCTGAAATTTTGMGTGCTCAAAGCTAAGAATGATACAAACATGTTAAATGCTACCACAATTTATTATTCAGACATTTATAGACAAACTGTACAAAGCGAAGAATTTGGAAGCTTTGCTAAATCTTTGTTATTATATATTTTAATAACATAAATATCAATGTGAGGAGGCCAGAGTCAAATCATGTCCAAGAACATATCAGAGAAGGATGAAGGTACAGCTAGTGTTTAATATAAAAATGACTTTGGTTCAGTTTGTCATTCATACGTTGTGTAGCATCACAATAAAGTAGTGGATTTATGATGAAATGTTTTATATTATTTGATTTAATCTTGTCTGGTTTCATCATGTTTTTAGCTTTTATTCCATCTTTTAATCAGAATCCTGCTTATTCTATGAGCAGATGTCATTTTATTTTTATTTTCTCTTACTGTTCTTTTGCACTTTGTCAAAATGTTTTGTTTGTGTAAAGCACTGAGTTGTCTTGTTGCTAAAAWGTTTTCATAAAAAAGCAGCACATGATGATGAGATATCACATATTATTTCTATATTTTTTAAGCAACTTCTCTTTAACTTAGGTTACTGTTAACACTGCTCTGTGGCCAAGACAGTAAACCCTCCTAAAGCAGTGTTATTGAACTGATGGCCCACAGGCCGGATGTGGCCTGTGGGTGACTTCCATCCGGCCCGCCAATAAAATTTTGTAAAAAAAAAGTTTTTGCATTTTCAAAAAGAAATAAAAAGTAGGTCCTCTGGACGGGTTCTTCTTTAATGAAACATTTTGTCAAGAGATTTCTTCCAGAAGAAGTCTCAGGTCATTTTCTAGCCTAATTTCAGGTYATTTTTAAATTTAAAATGTATGTTTCAATGCAACAAAATTAATTTAAAATGTACAACATAATACTTGTTCTGCTGCTTGCTGCAGTGTTTCATCTACCATTACCATTACCTCCATGGGGGCTGTCCAGTRATGGTTAGGACCCCTGAGCTGTGGGCTTCAAGTAACCTCGGCCCCCGGAGTGATTTACTGTATTTTTCGGACTATAAGCCGCACCCCCAACATAAAAAAACAGTACACCCAAATTTGCCGTCAAAAAAGTGAATTCAACATCAAAACATAAAAAGCAAACCTTTAGGAATTAAAGTTCGGAGGAATACGGTTCATTTAACTGACCTTATTTTGGTAGTTTTCTTTAACGGTTTCTGGTCCAACAAAACGTCTCATTCATCGTCCTCCAGCGCACTGAAACCATCGAAGTCCTCTTCAGTGTCAGAGTTAAACAAGCTGAGAAAAGCTGCGTCACACAGCGGTGTCTGTTGTCCTCCCGGGGTAATGTTGGCTCTGAAACTGCTGGGAAAGCCCTCCCGCTCCAGCATACATTACTGCATGGGGTTCCTTCCCCGGGGAGTGCAATGCCGAAAAAAAAAGTCTGTGGCTCTTCACTCGACGTTTATCCACAAACTGGTCCTGGATTAAGCTCCAAAGTTTTTATCAGTCAGATTCCACCGTGAAAAATGTCTGTTTTATCCCGTTTTATGAGTTTTTAGCCACTGACTATCTTTAAATCGCTGCTTCCTGGTACAACAGTCGGCTCTGGAAGTGATCGCTTTTTTCTTCTTTTTTCCTTTTTTTTTGGAAGCGAGTGGTTGAAGCAAATGGAGCATAAGAGCCCCCTGGTGGCTGAAGAAAAAAATCCACGTATAAGCCGCACCGGTCTGTAAGCCGCATGGTTCAAAGTTCRGGAAAAAAGTCGCGGCTTATAGTCCGAAAAATACGGTTGTTGAATAGTCCTGTCCTGAAGACTGGAGCCAGGTGGAGATAAACGTTCAGATCGAACAGATTTCAGAGAACTAAACACAAATACAAAATCCAAGCTGCTCACCTGTCAGTTATTTGGGGGGTGGCACCTTGGGTGGCCAATCAGGTGCCAGGGGTGACTCTTGCCACCCCTGGCCCCCCTCTGGCTCTGCCTCTGCAGTGGAATCCTGGCACAAACTTTGGGATGTGTAAATAAAAGCTTSTATTTGAGTGTTTTTCTACAATTTTTAATCTGCACCATTGTAACTCACCACCAAACCACACACCTGTTCAAACGGCTCATTTTTACGCACGCGCGCACTCCACCTCCCTCGCTTCCTTTAGAGAAACTGTAGCTCGTGTGATCGATCCAGTCCTGTTCGGATCGATGCGCTTCAGCCTCCTCCTCCCCGGTGCTCTCCAGCTGTTACGGGGGCCGGCAGAGGCCAGTAAACCCCGCCCCCTGCCCTCCTATTGGACCGTAGGAAGGCAACGGGGGGGTTGCTTGGCTTTGCGTTTCATATCTTTGCAGCGGCGGAACGCGGCGCACCTCGGGCTCATCTCTCCCCATCAAATAATCWGATTATTCTCAATCCGGCCGGTGGGGAGAGAGAGGGCTTCAGCCTGGAGCGGAGCGCGCAGCATCACCTCCTCTCTGCCTCTACTTTGGCTGCTTCTTCTTTTATTTTTTTTCTTTTTTTCTGTTTTTAATTTCTTTGGTGCGTCTCCTCCGTCCACCTGCCCGGGAGCGCGCGCGTCGGGAACGAGGAGCACCTGGAGGCATGTCGCGATGCTGTGCACAAGGAGAACTAAAACTTTGGTGTCGACGTGCGTGATCCTCAGCGGCATGACCAACATCGTGTGCCTCCTGTACGTCGGCTGGATCACCAACTACGTGGCCAACAGCGGCCCCAAAGTCGCGGAGAGCGGCGGCGGCGGCGTCGGCGCGGAGGCGGACAGAAAGTTGGAGGAGGACGGCAAAGGAGAAACCCTGAAGATCATCGAGAGGCTGGAGCGGCTGGAGAGCGTGGTGAAGGAGCACATCAAAGGTCAGAGCTGCTGCTTCACGCGTTTAAAAACAAGCTTCACTTTGATTTTCCTCAGTTTTAAAATCCAAACTAACTCCCACCTGTTTCACCTCCTCAAAAAATGAATGTTTGCTGATTTTCCCCTAGACTTTTATTTTGGAAACCTGCATCATAATGGGAAAAAAAAATAGTATAGGTC